CCTCTCCCTTCTCCTTTCCTCTCCCTTCTCCTTTCCTTCTCTTCCCGTTCTACTTCCCTTCCTCCATTTCCCTTCCCCCCTCGTTCCTTCTCTTCTCTTCTTTATCCCTTCTCCTCCCTACTCCCGCGCTTTCCTCCTCCTCACCTTTCCATGTCTATCCTCCCCTCCTTCCCCTTTATCCCGTCTATCCTTCCCTCCTTCTACGTCCTTCCCATCCTCCCCCCTTCCTCCTTCCTTCCGCCCTTCTTCCTTCCCCTCCTTCCTTCCCTCCTTCCTCCTCCCCCCCTTCTTCCTCCTTCCCCCCCCCCCCCTTCTCCTTGCTCTAGTAGTAGCAACAAGCAGATCCTGTCAGCGCCACTTGGGTCGCGAGTGACAGCGACACGCGCTTCCCACCTGTCCCTTGGAAGAACTCCTGGAGGGACCGCACCTGCTGGCCTGTCAGTCTACCTGTCGCCGTCTGTCTGTCTGTCTGTCACGCTGTGTATGTGGAGCGGTGCACGGGCAAGCATAGACAATGGTGGGGGGCGAGGGATGTTGGGGTTGGGAAGCGGGGGAGAGAGGACGAGGGAGAGGGAGAAGAAGAAGAAGGAGAGAGAGAGAGACGGAGAGACAGAGACAGGGAGAGAGGCAGGGAGAGAGACAGAGAGACAGGGAGATAAAGTTAGAGAGAGGGATGGAGGGAAAAGGAGGGAATGGAGAGAGAGAGAGACGGAGAGACAGAGACAGGGAGAGAGACAGAGAGACAGGGAGATAAAGTTAGAGAGAGGGATGGAGGGAATGGAGAGAGAGAGAGGGAGGGAAAAGGAGGGAATGGAGAGAGAGAGAGAGATAGGGAGATTAGGAGGGAGGGAGAAGTGAGAGACAGAATAACGGAGGCAGAAAAACGGTGAGAGAAAGACAAAATGATTGAATGAAAGAGAATAATAAGAGACAGAGAATATCTGGTTGGGTCATCTAGGAAAGACAGATCTTCAGTTTGTCATTTTGATAAAAAAGTCAACATATACTATATATATTGATGTAGAGAGAGAGAGAGAGAGAGAGAGAGAGAGAGAGAGAGAGAGAGAGAGAGAAAGAGAGAGAGAAAGAGAGAGAGAAAGAGAGAGAGAAAGAGAGAGAGAAAGAGAGAGAGAAAGAGAGAGAGAAAGAGAGAAAGAGAGAAAGAGAGAAAGAGAGAAAGAGAGAAAGAGAGAAAGAGAGAAAGAGAGAAAGAGAGAAAGAGAGAAAGAGAGAAAGAGAGAAAGAGAGAAAGAGAGAGAGGGAGAGGGAGAGGGAGAGGGAGAGAGAGACAGAGAGAGAGAGAGAGAGAAAGAGAGAGCGAGCGAAATATGATTACCGGGCCCTGATTCTATTACGCCCGTCCAATCAGCGCCCAAAATAGCGGTACACGGTTTAGGGAAGGCGATAGCAGAGGAGGCGCCAGAAGACAGTAGCTGATAGGACAAAGAGGGAGCGTGAAGAGTCTGGCAGCAGCCCCCCTCCCCCCCGTCTCCTTCTGCCCCTTCCCCTACCCCCACCGAGTGCCCATGCCCTGCCCAACCCCACGGCTCCCTGCCACCACCCCACACTGCGTCCCCCCCCCTTCCCCCCTTCTCCCCCCTCCTGTCTACTCCCTCACTCTACCCCCATCCACTCCTCATCACCCAGGGCCCTCTCTCCCCCTCCCCCCCCTCTCCCCCACCTCATTCTGTCTCACCCACTGTCTCTAACCCCCACTCCATCTCACTCACCCCCACTTCTCTATTCCCCCACCCCCCACCACCTTCTCTATAATCCCTCCCCCACCTCCCCACTCCCTCTCACCCCTTCTCCCTCCCCTATTCCCTCTCCCCCTCCCCCCCCCCCCACGACACCCCAAGGCCCCCTTTTTGAGGTGATCACTGACGCCAAAGCCTTCATTAAACTCGCATTAAGGCTGCATGACTTATTTTTGCGAGGGAGGCCGTCACAGTGGGCGTGGGGGGGGAGGGGGGGAGGAAGACGGGCGGCGGGTGATCAGCTTATTGATGATCACTCTGCCATGCCCCTCTCACACCTTCCTCTCTTCTCACGCGCGAGGCTCTCTCTCTCTCTCTCTCTCTCTCTCTCTCTCTCTCTCTCTCTCTCTCTCTCTCTCTCTCTCTCTCTCTCTCTCTCTCTCTCTCTCTCTGTATGAATGTATATTGATATGTAAATAAAAGAGAGAGTGAGAGTGAGAGGGAGAGTGAGTGAGTGAGTGAGTGAGTGAGTGAGTGAGTGAGTGAGTGAGTGAGTGAGTGAGTGAGTGAGTGAGTGAGTGAGTGAGTGAGTGAGTGAAAGAGAGATCTTTGTCTCCTTTGTCCTGCGAGGTCGTTATTCTTGCCTTGTAGTTTTCCTGTCGGCACTCATCCCGCCTCTCTGCCTCCGTGGCACTGTCAAGGGCATTCACCTCCCCCTCATCCCCTCCCCCTACCCCTCCCCCTCCCACTCCCTTCCCCTTCCCCACTCCGTTTCCCTTTCCCTTCCCCTTTACCTTCCCCTTCCCCTTCCCCTTCACTTTTCCCTTCCCCTTCCCCTTAGCAGCCAAAGGAAGCAGATCCCCTGGGCAGAAGAGTGGGGGTTGAGAGTGAGAAAAAATGAGAATCAAGGCGAAAAAGAAAGAATGAGAGTGTAAAAGAATGAGAAAAAGAAAGAGAGAGAGAGAGAGAGAGAGAGAGAGAGAGAGAGAGAGAGAGAGAGAGAGAGAGAGAGAGAGAGAGAGAGAGAGAAGGAGCGAGCAGGGAAAAAAAGCGAGCAAGGACAAAAGAGATAATACAAAAGAGAGAGAATTAAAAAGAAAGAGAGAAAAGAATAAAAAAAAGAGAATAGAGAAAGAGTAAGAAAGTGAGGATGAGAGAGAGTGAGAGAGAGAGAGAGAGAGAGAGAGAGAGAGAGAGGGGCAGGAGGGCAAGACGAGCATGCAGGCCCCAGCTGCTCGATCATGGTTTTATAGGTCCATTAAATACGTATTATTAGATTTACGAGGTTTCTGTTTAATGGTCGCCTCCTCGTGATATCAACTTCCAAGAAGGCGGCCCTCTAACACATGGGCGGCCGGATGTGTGGGCGTGAGGGCGTGGCTGGGGGATTCGGGAGGTTGTGTGGAGCGTGAAGGCGTGGCTGGGGAGGTTTTGTGGGCGTGAGGAGTAGGGTGGGGTGGGGGTGTGTGGGCGGGGTGAGAAGAGTAAACGGCTCGAGGCTTCGGCAAGGGATTTTATGGTATGTGGGCGTGGGCGTGTGGGCAGGGCTGCGGATCTAAGGGGCACTGCGTGGGCGTGAGGGCGGGGTTGGGGGAGTGGGTGGTGTGGGCGGCAAGGTAAGGCTACTCGCTCTCGCCGAGGCTGATAGGGTGAGTGTGTTGTGGTGGCACGCGCCAGGGTGTAGGGGCGGGGGGAGGGGGAGGGAGAAATGGGGAAGAAGGGGAAGGAGAAATGGGGAAGAAGGGGAAGGAGAGAGAGAAAGGGGGGAGGTTAAGAAGGAGAGACGAGGACGAGGGAAAAGGGAGGGTTGAAGAGGAAAGAGGTAGGAGGGAGGAGGTAGGAGGGAGGAGGGAGAAGAAGGGAGGTGATAATAGTGGAGGTGAACTGAGTGGGCGAAAAGGGGTGGCCTGGCTCACTGTATCTCCATCCTCTTTTCCTCTTCTTCCTCCTCATTCTCTTCCTCTTTCTCCTCCTCATGCTCTTTCTCCTCTTCCTCCTCTTTCATCTCCTCTCTCTCCTCCTCTTCCTCCCTACTCCAGTGGCACAGTTCGTTGGTCGTCTGTTGCAGGAGTTGCAGCCTTCAGATTGTGTACTCGTGAGAGGGATGGAGATGGATGTGCGAATAGGGGGTAGGGGGAGGGAGTAGATGTGCGAATAAGGCGCTGGGTGGGACGTGGGTGTGCGAATAAGGCGGTGGGTGTTAAGTTGATGTGCGAATAGGGCGGTGGGTGGGAAGTGGGTGTGCGAATAAGTCGGTGGGGATTAAGTTGATGTGCGAATAGGAGATTGTAGGAAGTGGATATGCGAATTGGGCGGTGAGCAGTGGGACGTGTGCGGTGGGCGGTGGGCAGAGGGTGGAATGCGGTGTCCTAGCCCTCGTGGAGTCAGAGGGTAGGACGGAGGGCAGATGATCCGTGGGCGGCGCAGTGGGCGGCCGTCAGGATGATGGAGGATGCACCCGCGCGGCCCCGACCGGCCCGGGAATATCGCACAAACTGCACCATTAATGAATTGTGTTTCTATTTATCATCGGCGTGTCAATGGCAGTCGCGTGGCCGGGGCCAGAGGGGCATAAGTGCCGCCGAGGCTCTTTCAGCTCCGGGGCGCAAGGGCGGCGGGCGTGCTCGGGCGTGTGCGGGCGACAAGCGGCCGCATGACCAAATGAATGGCGGAACATGCACGCTGATGCAGCCGCGCGAGGGCCTAAGCCGGGGCCGTGCCACGGGGAAAGCGCCCTTGTGCCCGGGGGCGGAGGAGCGGCCGGCCGCCGGACACGCCACATGCCCGGAGGACGCGGGGACCCTGATGGATACTTAAGATAACATACCGACCCAGCGGGGACGCCCGCGCCAGACAGTATGGTGCCCTGCCGGGGGGAGGGGGAGGGGGAGGGGGGGAAGGAGGAGCAGGAGGAGGAGGAGGAGGAGGGGGAGGCTGGGTCCTGTGACTTGACGCCCGAGGAATTTGCGGCGATGTGATTCATTCTCTGAGATTCGTGAAGGATTTCGCTTCCTTCTTTTCAACCTTGTTACACATTATCTATATTTCCTCTATTTTTATTATTATTATTATTATTATTATTATTATTATTATTATTATTATTATTATTATTATTATTATTATTATTATTATTAATACCATCATCATCATCATCATCATCATCATCATCATCATCATCATCATCATCATCATCATCATCATCATCATCATCGTCCTGAGTACTCCTCATGCTCACCGTCCTTCTCTCCTCCAAGCCTCGCACTTCCCAGGCCCTCATCTCCTTCTCTCTCTCCCCCAGTCTGGTACCGACGACCGCGTGTCCGACATGGAGCAGGAGGACAGCCTGGGCCTGACGGGCGGCGGCCGCGACAGCCCCCTGAAGCCCGGCGTCGGCGTCTGCGGGGGCGGTATGGAGGGGGAGGACATCCTGGCCAAGCTCCGCCAGCAGGTCTCGGCGGCGTCCCTCTTCAGCCACACCCGGGAGAGCATCCTGGGCGGCTCCCCTCCTCCCCCCGGCTCGCCCAACAACAACAATAACAATAATAACAATAACAATAACGGACACAACCTCTACGACCGCCTCCACACCCTCCTGCAGGCGAAGATGAAGAGGGAGGTGAGTACACGGCGCTGCAGTGCTGTTGATGTAATGCAAGCTAATTTCATATGGTTAATTGTGATTATAAGTATAGCATTATTGATGATTAATTAGTGATAGTAATAGATTATTAATCTTATTTTGAAAGGTCATAGGGTCACATTAGACAATAGTTATATATACAGAAAGAGAAGTAGACGGTGAATTGTAGCATAAACAGTAATCCACGAATGACATTTACATGATTAGATGAAGGTAATGGTAGGCTATATTCCGAACGATCGGGTATAAAGGCACAAGGCAAATTCCAGAAAGCTGGCCAGATAATGGACAGCTGGTGCAGGATAGAACGGTGAAGGATAGGATAGGATAGCTAGTCACTGAACATAAATTAGATGGAATGAAATCAAATCTGACAGGTAGAGAGAGGGATAAACAAGCAGGTAAACCCAATACCCATGGACGTCGTTCTGCCACCTAGAGACACAAGTTCCACTGATGGCTACATTACGGGACGGGGGAGGGTATAGGGGCGAGGGGTAGAGGTAGAGAAGAGGGGATGGGGTAGGTATGGTGCAGGGGCGTTGGGTAGAGAGGAGGGGGGGCGGGTAGAGGCCAAACAGTTGCCCGAGGATGATCTCCGTTCCATAAAAGCTGATTGCGAGACATTAACAGAAGCGAGGGTACGGCGTTTTCTGAGCCGCTTCTCCGGCCGACTTTTATAGGTCGTTTTGTCTTGTTCCGCGTCACCAGCTCGGCTCCGGAGGCTTATCGTCTTCTTCTATTAAATGCCGCCCGAGTGGGGGTCGCTGTCGCCCCGGGACGCTGCGGAGGGCGCTCTTGGGAGTCTCTCTGTTTTAGTTTTGTTTAGTCTACTTGTGGTTTTTAAATATGTGCATAATCACTTTTGGTGATTTTTTTATTTTTATTTTATCCATTCATTATGATGATTTTTTAAAAAGAAAGGCGTTGAATATTTTATTCGTGCGTTTCTTTCTTAGTTCTTACCGATCCCACGGGAGATCCTTTGAGTATTATCAGTGCAAGAGAGCCGTGCCACGAATGATGAGTGGTGTTTGTATTTCTTTCCCGCAGGAGGACGGTGAGGGGGACGAGGACTCGCGCGACCTGGTGCTCCGGGCGGAGGCGCTGCAGAGGCAGAGGGAGTCGCTGCTGTCGTCGCCACAGGCGCTCATGAACGCCATGAGGGGCGGCGGGCCGCCCTCGCTGGTGCCCCCCGGGCCGCACCTGCCCTTCATCCCCAGCACGGTCGGCCTCCCGCCCACCTCACAGATGCCGCCCACGCCTGGGTCGGCTGGGTCACGCGACTCCTCCGGCAACGGCACACGCACGCCCTCGCACACGCCCGAGCCGCACCAGAGTCAGCAGTCCTGGAGCTTCGAGGAGCAGTTCAAACAGGTGAGTCGGCCTTCCAGCGTAGAGAGATGTCCAGATTGCGGAGTTGCTGTGAAGGCAGCCACAGAATCTGACTTCAGCGCACCTGCACGGGCGCAAGCGGGCGGCGTGGATATATAACGGAGCGATAATTAAAGGATCCTCGGAGGCATTGAAAACCAGACGACAATAAAAGTGTTAATGATCAGGAACCTCCTTTCCACCAGAATAAAAAAGAAAAACCCTTTTTTTATATTTCGCGATAAAATGATTCTTAGTCAGTAATTGCTGGTTGATAGTTATTATACTTTGTTATTACAATTATATAGTCTCTGAAATGTCAGACGTCCACGCTAGTTATCATTTTATTACACGAAATAAAATGAAAATTGACAATTAAATTTGAGATAAAAGGTGATAATTAGCGTATAGTAAATTTATTTCCCTCGTTATGCATGTATTATAATAAGTAGAGAGATATTTATTTATATTCGTTTTATGACACGTTATCCATGCCACATATGCAGCTGGGAGACCTCTTTAGCATCTATTTGAAAAATACAAAATCTTATATTTAACGAGACTGAGATACTATAAGCTGTTTATCGTAATTTCACGTAACTGCAAGAATCTTATTGTACGGAATTTCCAATAATCGATTCTAATTTGACATCATTATCCAAAATCCTCACTTTCTCCATGTCAGATATGAGAAAAATCCCCATATCTTGTGGCATAAATTTCCTTTGCCACCTATTGAAACGTAAGAAATTTTCTGACCTCGCGCTCTTTGTGAACTGGAGTCAATATTCTTAACCCGTTTTCTTTTTTTACCTGTTTATCATTATTTACATCCAGGATGATCAAATTTCCCTCTGTTAGTTTTAGAAATATACGATAAGATGTAGATTCTCCTCGTGTTAAGATTGAGAAAGAAAGAAAGAAAGAAAGAAAAAATAGTACGCGCTTTCTGATGCGTCAATATTTCTCATCCATTTTTTTTTTATCCCTTATTATCACATTCATCCGAAATCCCTGATGCAAGAATTTTATAAATAGAGAATATGTAGATGTTCATGTATCAAATTGTTCAAGTAAATAATGAAAAAAATAAAAAAAAAAATCGAACAAAACATCTCAATCTCCCGCGCTTTCTGATCCGGGTCTTAGGGTGATAAGTCATGCAAATTGCTCCCGGGATGCGAGGGAAGGTTCAACCACTCGCCGGATTCCTTATACCTGAACCCGAACTCTCGACTGGTTGAGGAAGAGAGGGAGGGAGAGAGGAAAAGGGGGAAATGAAGGAGGGAGAGGAGGAGAAAGAGGAGGAGAGGGGGAGGATGAGAAAGAGGAGGAGAGGGGGAGGATGAGAAAGAGGAGGAGAGGGGGAGGATGAGAAAGAGGAGGAGAGGGGGAGGGGGAGAAAGAGGAGGAGAGGGAAAAAGAAAGAGGGAGAGGGAGAGTGGGGAGGATGAGGAAGAGAAGGAGAGGGGGAGGATGAGAAAGAGGAGATGGGGAGGATGAAAAAGAGGAGGAGAGGGGGAGGATGAGAAAGAGGAGGAGAGGGAAAAAAGAAAGAGGGAGAGGGAGAGTGTGGAAGAGAGAAAGCAAAGGGGCGATGACGTTCATGACGTCGGTGTGCTTCCCAAGTCATCCTCCCATGGCATTTCTCGATCGACCCCCTCCCCCCTAAACCCCGGCCGGCCTTGTCCTCGAGGCCGAGCGCCAAGGCGGGGCCTCAATACGAACGGAGAGCCGTTTGCCCTCGCGCGAGATGGACGAGTGATAACCAAAGGTCCAGTAATATTCCGGCGTGATGTGTTGGCAGTAACCGGATGATAGGTTAGGGTCGAGTAATAACAATCATTAAGGGAATGTTGAGAGTTGTCCATCAGCGCGGCGGCTCCCGGCAGCCAGTCACGGCGCTCGACCCGGCGTCCTGGCCCGCCATTGGCTCCTCGGCGCGGCAACCTTGCTATTACTCGGCCGGCTACCGGACTTCGATCTCGTCTCCACCTGCGCGATTATATCATTGCATTTATTCTCCCTCGCTTGTAATTTGCATGTGAAGGAATATTGGTTATGTGCAGGGCAGGATAATGACGATTTTTTCCCCCTCGCCCTTGCGCAAGTCGTTGTTTGGTTGTTTTTCGTTCATTTGCAGTCGTAGAATACAAAGGCGAGATTACTCGACTTAATCGTTCTCCATCTATCCGGATAATTGAGACGAGTTGCAGATCATCAAATTTTCCGAGGGTTGTAGGTTCGCTTGTTGAATTTAAATGATATTTGATGGTTTTCGGGGCGGAGGGATGAAGGGGTTGAGACGAGGCCTCGCTTGAACAGCCTCGCCGTGTTACTCAATCTGCGAGTCATTTCCACCTGTCCCGCCGGCGAGTCGTCGCTGCGATGGTTCCTCAGAAAACAGCTTCCGAGCTTGCCCCCCCCCCCCCCCCCCAAGATAAAATGTAATATCAGTTTATTTCCGTGCTCTTCTGCGAAGTCGGATATAAACCGGCCAGTGAGCAAGATGAGGGCAAATGGAGAACAACAACAATATCAACAACAAACGCCGCCACAAGAAGACCAGGAGACCGGAAAAGACAGCATAGGACAGCAAGTGACCACGAGAGACAACAAAAATAATAAGAAAATAGCAGAAAACCACAAAACAACAGAAAGCAATCGAACCAGAAAACAGCAGAAGACAGCAGTCGACGACAAAACTGCAAAGGGCAGCAGGCGACGGGGACCCGAGCACCAGGAGGCAGCGAGTGATAGCAGGAGACTCGGCTGCATCTGGTCCGTTCGGCTTTAACAGACGGACAAGTCAGGCCAAGCCGGGCTCTTTGTCGGGGCCGCCGCTCCCCTTGTGCTGGGGCTGGCGAGTCGTCGGCTTCCGTGGCCATGGCTCTGTCTCTGTCCATATTTCTGTCTCTATATATTCCCATCTCTCTCTCTCTCTCTCTCTCTCTCTCTCTCTCTCTCTCTCTCTCTCTCCCTCTCTCCCTCTCTCTCCCTCTCTCTCCCTCTCTCTCTCTCTCTCTCTCTCTCTCTCTCTCTCTCTCTCTCTCTCTCTCTCTCTCTCTCTCTCTCTCTCTCTCTCTCTCTCTCTCTCTTTCTCTCTCTTTCTCTCTCTTCCTCTCTTCCTCTCTTCCTCTCTTCCTCTCTTCCTCTCTCCCTTTCTTCCTCTCTTCCTCTCTTCCTCTCTTCCTCTCTTCCTCTCTTCCTCTCTTCCTCTCTCCCTCCCTTCCTCTAACTCTACCTCTCCCTCTTCTCTCTCTTTCTCTGTCCCTGACCGACCGTTTCCCTGTCCATGCCCGTGTATCTGCCCATGTGTGTATCTGTCAGCATTCCTGTCAGTGTTTCTTTGAATCCTGTTCCATCCTGTTTCGAACCACCGTTTCACCTTCCTCTGTGAACACATTAAAACCTTCTTCTTGGAATCATAATATTGAACCTTGATGAGAATCTGTCTCCTTTGTATGCTGATTCTCACTAGTCCTTGAGCCCTGATTCCAACCAGTCCTTAAGCCTTTATTCCAACCAGTCCCTGCACCCAGATTCCAGCTTCAGCCTCTCTTGTGCCAGATGCCATCATAGTCCCTGGCATTCGTGCCCCATGAGTCTAGTTCCCTTTGGTTGGCACTCGCTGCACTAAACCGTAAAGTCGGCAGGTGTTCCAATACCTAATGAGGTGTTGTTGGAAGCATATATATATATTTGTCTAGTGCAAAGAGTTACTTAGCTGCTGGTCGTAATTGCAAAACCAAGAGTGCTTATTTAATTTGTTCAAGAGTATTGAGCAAGAAAGTGTTATGGTTTCCAGCCGTCTGCCTCCACAGCAACGGGTTATTTGCCGCCGTCCATGCAGTAGAGCTTCACAGTTAGAGCCCTTGTAACTGCAGTTCACTCGAAACGGTGACGTAGGTGTGAACAGCGCCTTCCTAAAACTCGTTATGCAACACTGCAGAGTATATAAAACTCTAATGTTTCCCAGATCGACACGCAGAAAAAAGGGGTTAATTTGCATAGAAGTTATCAAGTTTTTTTGCAGGATGTAGATTGTGGCGTCAGATAATGTGTCGGGAACAATAAACGGAGGCGAGTGTTTTGGGCGAGCGGGTTCGGGCGAGGGGCGGCCGCGCGGCGAGTGCGGGCGCCGCTAATGAATGTGTGATCCTGTTTTATGATCCGGCGAGCATCAAGTGCCACTTTTATGTGGGCCTTTTATATCTTGTCTTTACGTGAGGTTGTTCTCCGCACCTCCGCGTCGCCGCTTCCCTGTGTGAGCTGTCGGCAGATTTGCGCTTGATACGTCGAGGAGTGCTTAGCGCGCTGCAACTAGGAAATTAGATATCGGGTCCCTCTCGTTACGGGGCGGCAGTGTTGGCCGTATAAAACAATGAGGGGGAGGGGGTGTATCCTCTCCTGCGAGATTTACATGCGCTGCTTAATGGATAAATAAACAAATAAGATAACGAGCCAGACTCCTTCGCCAGGGATGCTACTCTACTCCTCGGACGCGCACTTCATCTCCCAGCCTCACTTTCCTTCCGTCCTCTCTCACTACCCACCCTTCCTCCTCGTCTCTCTCTCTTCCGGCTTGCGGCTAAGTAAGGCGTGGGGGAGGAGGAGTTGAAGAAGAAGAAGAAGGAGAATAGAGAGAGCCAGACAGGCGTGATGAAAAGGGGCGTTCTCTTTGCCTCCTCCTTCGCGTGTCTCCTCCTGGGGCGTCCCGGGGATCCTCGCGCTCCTTCTGCGGCCGCCGCGATCGCTCCGACGGAGAAGGAGAGTTCAATGGGCCCTGAAACCGTGGTGTTGGATAATGCACATATTCCCGCTGTTTATGCCTCGCGCTAATAAGCAATAAAGCCGGGCTTGTGGTCTCACGCCAGCTGGTTGTTGAGAGATTTGCATGACTGGACGAGAGAGGGGAGGCGCGCCTCCGTCGGGCTGCCTGCCTGGCCACGCGGATGTCGGCGTGCGACGAAGACGTGAATTGAGGGGCGTCGGGGAATGAGGAAGGAAGAGGGGAAAGGATAGGGAGGGTGTGAATGGAAGATAAGATTGGGTAGACTTAGGTTATAGTAAGATGCGGGTAAACTGACGGTCAATTGAGGGTAAACTGAGGTTAAACT